GCTTTTTTTTTTTTTCCAGGATGATTCTTGACAATTCTAAAAATATATCTGTTATTTTTATTGTTTCGTTTTGTACCACATTCTCTTTTGCCAATGTGAAAACTGCCCCCCCAAAAAAAGTGTGATGAGGTTGGGGGTTGTGGCTGGAGGGGCCTGGCCAGGGGGGGTGGGGACAGAGGGGGACACGGTTCACACACCCATGTTGCAAAAACCAGAGGTATTTTCTATCTCCCTTTTTTATTTCATGGTTGTTTTTTTGGTTTGTTTTGGTTGTTGTTGGTTTTTTTGGTGGGTTGGTTGGGGGTTTTTTTTTGGTTTCATTGTTTTATTTTTTACCTCTTTATGTATATGTAGGGAATTTATAGGAAAATATGTACTTTATTGAATAAATTTTAAAAACTAAAATATATTTTATTTTAAAAAGAAAATAACGGACCTTTAACCTTACATGGCTAAAGTACTGATTATATATTTGCTGAGCTGACTTGACGGTTATGAAAATTGTATCAAGAGTTTTATTTTTTGACTTCAAAGCCTTCTTAATAAAGACTTTTTACTATATATGAACTCATCTGCTCCCTACGGTGTCTCACTGCCTCTCGGTGTCCTCAGGCCTGGGCACCCTGCTCTGCCTTTGGACTGTGTCCATCTGTCCCTACGTCTGCCCATGGTTGGCTTTTCCCAGTGTTTGCTTCTCTGCTTCCCATGTGCTGGGGGCATGGAACATCCTGCAAACCCCACGGGGTGCAAGGCTGGGTGGAGTGATGGGGAATGAGATGTCTCCAAGTTAGAGAGATGTGGAAGTGATGGCTGAGCCCTCAGTGGATGAGGAACTGGGAGGTCACACTCAAAGACTTGGGGTTGATGGCTTGTGGTCCCAGTGGAGACCAGTGGCAAGTGGTGTCCTCACAGGTTGGGTTGGAACTGGTGCTGTTTGACATCTTTGATGGTGACATGGATGGTGGGATTGAAGGACCCTCAGCAAGTTTGCTGAGGACACCAGGTTGTGTGGCCTGGTGACACTGGAGGGAAGGGAGGTCCATCCAGAGGGACCTGGACAGGCTGGAGAGGGGGGCTGTGCAGGCTGCATTCAGTTCAGCAAGGCCAAATGGAACCATGCAGATGGGTCAGGGCAATCCCAAGCACAAACACAGGCTGGGTGGAGAATGGATTGAGAACAGCCTTGAGGAGGACTTGGGAGTGTTGGGTGATGAGAAGCTCAACATGAACTGGCACCGTGCCCTGGAGCCCAGGAACCACCCATGTCCTGGGCTGCACCAAAAGCAATGGGACCAGTAGGTCCAGGGAGGTGATCATCCCCTCTGCTCTGGTGAGATCCCCTGCAGGGCTGGGGCCAGTTCTGGGGTCCCCAACACAAGGAGGACCTGGAGATGTTGGAGCAAAGCCCTAGGAGACCATGGAGATGATGGGAGGGCTGGAGCAGCTCTGCTCTGGAGCCAGGCTGGGAGAGTTGGGGTGTTCAGCCTGGAGAAGAGAAGGCTCCAGGGAGACCTTAGAGCAGCTTCCAGTGCCTGAAGGGGCTCCAGGAAAGCTGGGGAGGGACTTGGGACAAGGGCAGGGAGGGAGAGGACAAGGGAGAAGGGATGAAAAGCGGGAGAGGGAGATTGAGGTGAGACATGAGGAGGGAATTGTGGAGTGTGAGGGTGGTGAGAGCCTGGCCCAGGTTGCCCAGGGAAGCTGTGGCTGCCCCATCCCTGGCAGTGTTGAAGGGCAGGTTGGATGGGGCTTGGAGCAGCCTGGGCTGGTGGGAGGTGTCCCTGCCCATGCAGGGGGTGGGGCTGGGTGAGCTTTAAGGTCCCTTCCACCCCAACCCAGCTGGTGTTTCCATGCAAACACCCCACACGTGCCCCTCCCTGCACCCAGCAGCTGTGGTGCTTTTTGCCTCCAGTCTCGTGGTGCTGGTTGTGGCACATCCCACTGTGCCCAGGCCCTGGGGCACCTGACAGAAAATGCTCTTGACCCCCTGGAGAGCGGGGGGTACCAGGTAAAGCTTCTCAGGATGTTCCAAGGGGAGTCTTCAGGTGCTCCCTATGGGGATTCTCAGGGTGTCCCGAATGGGGAGTGGGGGGCGTCTCGAGGTGCCCTTGGGGTGTCTGAGCTGGGGTGGACCTTGTGGTGCTGCAGCGGGTGGGACCGTTCCCAGCACCTCCAGGAGCTCCATGTGGGGCAGAGCGGGAAGGGGCGGGGCCCATAACCCGCCCTGTCCCCAATTAGCGGCAATTAGCGGCCATAAAGGGGCTGCAGGCAGAGGGAAGGGCAGTTCCCGCAGCCGGGGGTGGCACCATGGCCGCAGGGAACCCCTACGTGCAGGTGAGGGGCTGGTCCTGGGGGGCTTGTGCCTCCCCCGGGGGGCTCAGCACCTCGGGTGGCCGCAGGTGCCGCGGCCTGAGTGTCC